CTGTCAAAACAGAGTTGGCTAACTGTGTTCCTAGGATTGATTTAGCTTGAGAACGATTCAAGCAGGGTCATTTTGCCCACTGCTCATTAAAGCTCCTTGCAAAAGGAGAGTGTATCACAAGCTGAGGCAACAGTGCATGCACACCAAGAAAAGAGCACAGGGAACAGCCTCAGTGCCCAAGTAAGGTAAAGATAACAGTCACAGAAAGCAGCTTCCCCAGTTACAGTTCTGTTTCAGCCTCCTGACAAATCTGCTTTTCCACAAGCAGAATTTGTAAAACTGTTTTTGGGCTTCCCATTTCATAGCCAGTGTCTGCTTACAGACATAAAAAAAAGCTTGAGTGAAACTGGTTGATCTGCATTTGAATTTTTCAGCTGGAGGGTGAAGGGGAGGAAGGGGACAAGAACAGGCCCATTTGTTTCTGAGGTCTTGTGTTTCTCTGATTCAAATCAGCTGAGGCTTTGAACTTCAAAACTGCGTTACTTTGAAGATCACCTTGAAACTCAACACACCAAGAAAAGTAGAAAGAAAACTGGCATATACTATCTTTCTCACCTACAGCCTTCTGTCTGTTAGTATCATTAGGGTATTGTTTAGATGGTAAACCTTCAGCACTTGGAATTAATCTTGCTTTTGTATTAGTGAGCTGCTGTACAATCTTCTGGCACTACATCAAACACAGAGCAGTAAAAACACAAAATCCAACCCTGAAATGTAAGATTTTTCCAAACTAAATGCTAGTAAGAAATATGAAGACTTTGTTAATGTGCCAGTATTTTTCTTTCAAAATTAAGTCAGGATTTCTGGAACACATGCACCAGTGCAAAAAACCCCCAATAATCCTCACAAATATTTTGACAGGCCTGAGCATCACCCGTTTTACCCGAGTCAGTCAACACAGACAATACTCATCTTACCTTTATAATTTGGAATGGGGACTTTGAAGGGTTTGGACAAAATGCTGCGGATAAAAGCCTCCTAGGAATTCAGAAAAAAAAACAAACAAAACCACGCTTAAGAAGTCTGAAATCAGTCATTGCTCAAGAAGGCAAGCCCAGGGCATTTTGTAAGAACTCAGGTTTTGCTGGGAGTCCCTCTATTCAAGCTTTAACTCCATCTATTTTCAAGAATATCCAAATGGAGGAAAGTAACAAATCAATACGATTTCCTCCCCAACTCTGCTTTTCAAAACTATATTCCTTTGTGTTTTCTAACATGCAGAACTGATTTTTCATAACTCCCATCTTCTCAAATCCACTAGCGTTAATCACTTCTTTATATGCTATTGCTTCCCCCACCTTGGTAATTAATTTCAATTAAAGCAGTTAACTTCCCCTAAAGGAGCTAGCTTACCATTGTGAGAACAACCACGCCAGACCAGCAAGCGCCCAGCTAGTCCAGCACCCTGTCTCCAGGAGTGGAAGCTCAGAGAGAACTGGGCAAGCAGAGAGCACTTGAACCACCTGTGTGGAAAGCTACCTATGTTCCTTCACCTAGACCCCACAGAACTCTTAGTCAGGATTTCCATTGTAGAAAGTACCCTTACCACAGCTCCTTCAACATTAAATGGCTGGAGGTAGCAAAAGGTGTCGCTCCTGAAGACTCTGCGCGCGGCACTTCCATAACATCTCTGATTAAATGGATCCATGGAAGCATTTGGATTCCCTTGATCAATGAGCTCCACATGCAACCCACCAGCAGAAACACCCACTTACATGTTGGCTGCTATCCAGGCAGTGAGGCCTGTTGGTCAACTGAGTCAAAGGCTTCCGGAAAGGCGACCGGTAACATTCTTCACTCTCTGTCTCATTGACAGGCTTCTGCCTCTTCCGAGTCTGAAAAACATAATTGCAACAAACCAGCTCAGGGACAGCTGGTGACACCAGAAGATAGCTGCATTGCTGTCACACTCAGTAAGCACCTAACCACACAAGCAATCCACCCAGCCAGCTGAGTATCTCTGAACAGAAACAATCACAACACACCCCCACTGCCAAAGGACAGAGCCAGCAACACCACCAAGGTCACCATGCCCTAAAGTTTAACCTGCACAAGGGCCAAAATATCTTCCTAATTACAAAAACAGCTACTCTTTTCTAAATTGTAAAAGGGCAGGCTTCTTTGTGCTAAGATTTGTCCTGACCACCCTCCCCTGAAAAAAAAACAAGGAAGAAAAGGCAGCATCAACAGCATGGAACTACATGAAAGTCCCCAGAGGGTCCCAAGGCATCTGTTGTTACACAGGCGAAGGGCCTCACATGGAAACTGAAATTTCAGATGCTCAGCAAGGCATGAAGATAAATAAGTCGTTGATCTGGTTCCTAATTTAACACAGTCCTCTTCAGATCGAGGCATAGTTTTAACCACCTGCTGGCACAGAAAAAGGGATTTGGTGCAACAAGCACCAGGTGAGACTCTCTGAGCTGTATGACATAGAACGTAACAGCATCGTGGGACTCTGTCTTGCCCTCAACTTCTACCTCTTCCAGATCATCAGCTCTCCCACAGACACCTGGGAAACTTTCCCAGGGATAACTTTTTTTTTTCCATAACCACAAAGCACCACCTATACACTACGATGCTCTTCCACCAGCTACGAGCCCAGACCTAAGTTTTCTGCCCAGCTGGCGAGAAAAGCGTAAGACTGGGGCCTGACCCTCAGGGCACAGAGTTCGGAGGCGGCAGCAACGTGCGGTCAGGCACCGGAGCCTGAGCCGGGCA